GGGTTTAGGGTTTAGGGGCTAGTCTTGCTTGTGCCTTAGACTGTAAGAGCGGCTGCAGCAGGTTCTTCTTGAGGGCTCGGGACCGTAGCTTTCAAGATCTTCAGGCATGTGCTGAATGCAACATGCACCTTGGATTCCTCCTGAAATCGGACAGCATGTTTAGGGGTATATTATATTATCATGTAACTCTTCTCGTAACGAGGAGGAACTCTAAGGAGCAGTATTGTGAATTATTCCGCCCCTACATTGGCTCGGTATCCTTGACCTCCTTGTAGTTAGCAGAGGTGAGTGTCAATCACCTCGACGTCGCCCCGCGCCACGCCGGGGCGATCTTTGGCTTAGGCACAGCTTATATTTCATGACCACCGTTGCCTCTCGTAAGTGCTCTCTAGTCTGACCAGTTCCGTTCTGTCTTGCGGGTCCAGTTTGTCATTTTTGATCATTGTGTTGCCTGGTTGTAGCAACGGTGTAGCTTGCATTTGCGTGAGGTATGAACCGTCGCAACTACCCTCGCCCTCTCCCTCTCCCCCTCGCTCTGTCGCTCGCTCTCTCTCTCTGTGAGTTTTTCGCCAGCAGCTGGTGGCTACAGGTAGTTTCCGCTTCGGCAGGCAATACCTTCGCCACCTTTGCCGGCCTGGTCGCCACTCCCCTAACAGGCCGTCGGATCTCACGCTTAGAGGATTTTCTTGAAGCAGAGCTGTGGGACCAAAACTTGCGAGCGGAAGCCAGCCGTATCGCAAGGTGCCGTGCTGGACAAGACGGGCTCTTGGGAAATCGTCTTTACTATCATCACCTTCCACTATGTGCCGTGGCTGAGCTCCGAGTCTGCGCAGACAGAGATGGATTTCAGTTTGCTGCCTCAGGCTTCTTGTGACAGCAGTGACAGGCCTGTCAGTTGTTTTCCACCCATCCGAAACCCCAGCGCCCAAGACCTGAACCCCTGAACTCCAAGGGCCCAAGCTTGCCTGTCTCTTTTGTTGCCTCTTCGGTGGGTAAGGTGGTCGGGGCCGCGGTCTTCGCGCTCTTTTCCGGTGATCGAGCCCTTGAAGAAGACGGACAAAGCTGAGCCGCCTTGTTAGGACCTTGAGGAGGTAATGTAGGGGCCTTAATAATTAGAATAGGGTTTTGGGTTATGTTGTAGTATAGTTATAATAAGGAGCACCCAAAATAAATTAAGTAATAATTTAAGCCCCTTTACTAATGTCATTAGTCGCACTTGCGATCGCAGATAAATGCAGGTAGTAGTCGCCACAGGACTGTCGTTTATGGTAGTGGCCATACGCAAAGTATTTGTATACTCGTAGCAGAGGTACAAGTGATACTAAGACATCGTAACTTAGTAGCAGCAGCAGCAGGAAAGCATAGCAACAGTATAAATTACTTAGATCGAGAATAGCAAACGTGATGCGAACAGAATTCATAAGCCTATGAGCACCGACTGAAGCCACGGTTACAGGGCCTTCGGGCAATAGGGCTGTGCGGTAGTATGACAGAGTTGCAGACGGAGTCACGGGGAAAAGTGGCCTGCAACCTGGCATTGGCGCCCTGAAGCCACGGAGGTGGAAACCTGCATCAGCTGCAGTAGTAGTGTTTCACGCTGGTTGTCGTCGCCGCATCAGTTGCTACGCTAAACCCTAAACCCTAAACCCCTTGACATCAGTTCACTTGGGGTGCCTTGCCTTACGTGGAGGGAAGGACAGCGGAATGCGTCGTGCCCGGGGGCCCTTCATCCTGTCCTGAGCAGGTGAATGGCTTTACAGACAACGACGGCTGGCGCTANNTTCGGACGAGGGTCACAATGGAGGTGCGGCTGCAGTGGGTCGATCGTTGTTGGGGGATGGCTGCCAACCCTGGCCCTTCCCGGTTGCAAGAGTAGCTGGGACTTCGTTGCATGAGCTTCTGGTTTTGGTACCTTCCGAGCCCATCCCCGGACCTCTAAGCTGTTGACTTTTGACTGACAACAACAAAGACTTTGTCTGGAAGCGGCAGGAACGCATTCCAGCATCAAATGTTCGTGCGAAGGAGGTGCTACGCGAGGAGCTCGGAGGGGGGGGGGGGGGGGGG